CTGAGGAAATTTGTGCTGAAATGTGAGCAAAGAGGGAACAGGGCAGCCCTGCAGAGATCAAACAGGGGGGGTGAGAAAAGACTCACCCACCCCTCCCCAATTAATTTTAATTGACAAAGGACTCACATCTCTCTCTTCAGTGAGTTTTAATTGACATCTCTTAGTGTATTTTTTGGTGCTCTACAGAGCCAGGCTGCCCCGTGGGATGTTCAGCAGCTGCTGGAGGTGAGAGCAGCGAGCTGGGAGAGCTCCTAATGCCCCTGTCACAGCCAGTAACCCTGCAGGTTCTACAGCTGCACACAAACACAGCCTGGCACAGGCACAGATGTGCTCCAGATGTTTGTGCTCTGGAACAAAGTCACCCTCGAGCAGCCCACGGGGGCTTTACCGCTGTAAATATTCCATCCAGGAGAGCAGGAGCAGCCCTTGGACTGCGCTGGCTGCTGCGGTAATTTCGGGTGAAATTTAAACCTCAATATGGACAGAATAATCCCGTGTGAGGCTGGGGAGGCACCGAGGGCACGGCTGGGAGCTGTGAGGGCCAGGCTGGCACCGAGAAGAGGCTGTTGGCACACGAGGTGTAGCCGGGGAAAAAGAGTTTTAACCCTTTAAGTGAGGCAGAAATAAAATGCACAGCTACATGGGGGTCTGTCATGACAGGAAGAAATAAAGTTTATTCACAAACACACTTGGTTTTATAGCAGGGCTGCAACTCCCAGAGCAGAGAAAAGGAGATTGGTTCAGAGAGAAAACACCCCATGGCCAGGGCCTGGGCACACACCACAACAGGGGCTTTATTTTGTTATTAATTCCTTTTTATTGTGACCAAATTATCACCCTGGGAGAAATTCTCCCTAGCCTTGAGCTGGACCAGCTCATGGGCTGGGAACAGAGCTGAAAAACTCCAGCCTGGAATATTTTTCAGGCTGTAATTTTCTGACTTTCTCAGTATTTGTCCCACACAAGGTGTGGTTGCCACTGGCACCCCAGTGCCACCAGTGACTGGCATCCCTTGGGAACACAAAATTCAGGGCCTGTGGTTTGGGGTGGGCAAGCCAGAGATTTCCCTTAAAGAGCTTTTGAAATATAAAGACATTTCTTGTGTGTTCTCCATTTCAATTTTATTTTTTGTGTCACATCTCTCTTTTAATTTCTCTGCCTAAGCAAACTGCTCCGTTTGAAGCTGCTGGAACGATGCTGGGTTGAAATCAGCCCAGCAATCTCTGCTGACAACTGAGAGACTTCATCAGCTTTGTCCTTCATGGGGAGAAAAGGGACAGCAGTGACAGGGAAGGCAGGAGGTGCTGTGGGAGGGGGCAGTGCCTTTGGCAGAAATGGCTGGAAATAAAACCATTTTATCTGGGAGTGAACTCTTGATATTTCCTGTTCCTCGAGTGTTGTCATGGGCAGGATATTCTCTCACAACACTTGGAGGGTTTTGCAGCGATGAGCAAGGAATTGTCTTTGGATTGAGGTGACTCTCACTTGGAAAATATCAGTTTAATGTGGGCTGGGGAGACGTGGTCCAGTTCACCTCTGCTAACAACTTCCTTTTGTCTGATAATGATGGAGCTCTGGGGAAAATCACCACCCCAAATGTGAAATGTGGAGGGAATCGAGCAACAGCTCTTTTTTAATTCAACCCCAGCTTCAGTTTAGCAGATGTTCACTACAGAAAGTGAGGAGCCTCTTGAAATCAGATTTAGATGGCAGCAGCAGTCTGTGTTTATGTTAGGGGGATCCTGCTGGCCTCAGTCAGCAATCACACACTGGATGGGAGCAAAATGATTCCCTGCACTTCCAGGAATTCCTACCTGAGGTGTGGAGGACAGCAATTTCCAGGGGGAAGGCTAAAGAGTTTTTAAATATCTTTTGCTCTGTGTTACCCCATTAAAAAGTGTGGGTCTGCCAGAAAGCTGCACTGGAATCAATCATCACTGCCCACCACTCTGTGCTCTGGCAAAGGATTGTTATAAAGGGGATTTTTTTTTACCTTATGCTTACAAAGAGAAGAACAAAGTCACTCAATGATAAGTCCAGTTCTTCACTGAGACGAGAAGACATGCAGAAACAAAATTTAGTTTATTTTTACATCCCCCTCCCTGCAGAATGTGTCACAAATGGGTCATTTTGCTCACTCGGAGTTCTCTCCAAAGGTATTGGCAGAAGGGGTTTTAATAGGATTTGTAAAAGTGTGACTCAAGAAAGTTCAATGGCAACGTTCCCTCTGATCCTTACTACAGTCAGGAAAAACACAAAAGAAAAGAGAGTTAAGATTGATCTAGAACGATTTACAAATTATTTCCTCCAAAAGGGTGAGGGAGACATTCCCATGGAGTTGTGAGGTTCAGGGAGGAGCCCTTTGCTCTCTAAAGCCCTGATGGAGTTGAGGTGCAGCTGGGTCCAGCCTGAGTCTCATGTGGAAAAGGTTTGTGTCTAATGGATCTCATTAGGATTAATTCAGCAATTGAGGGTCTGTGGTGAATGCAGGATCTCAGCCTTGGCTAAGGAGGAATCTCAGTGTCTGGTAAGGAATCTTATTGCATTTAAAGAAAAAAAAAATGTTTGGCTCGAGTCAAATTGCACACAATGGGAAAGGATGTGTAAAGGTGTGGACACACACACATTGACAGAGCTGGGGAATTCCAGCTTGGGAATTCCTTCCAGGCCTGGATTTCTCCTGACTCTCAGCTCCATTCCCAGGCTGACAAGCTGACTGCAGCTTCAGTTAGGGAGGAGTCTCCCAGGGTGACAACACGGTGACAAACAGAGTGGAATTCATCACCAACATTAACCCCTGGTGTCTTTCCCGTGGGACACATCCTGAGGTGCTGTCCCAAGGATGTTTGTCCCAATTGTCCAATGAACTCCTGTCCTGTCCTGGCTGCACTGACACACTTTAAATCCGGGCTGTCTGTACAAAAAATTGTTCTTTTTTCCCCTGGAGCCAGTTCCAGCCCCAAATCCATCCCTCCCGGAGCAGAATGGGATCCGTGTGGATGTGCCTGGAGGGAAAATGGGTTTTGCAGAATCCCTCAGTCCACCTGGGACGTGGCACAAGCGGTGGAGCAGCTCCAGCAGAGCCCAGCACTGCAGGAAATGGGGGTGGCAGCTTCTGACGGTGACTCAACTGCTGCTGTCACCAGCTCAGCGGTGACACAAAGTGGAACCTGCTGGGGGCTGAGTGGGACGCAAATAAACGGCATGGAGAATGTGTCAGTGGCTCAGAGCCTGCAGGGAAGATGGTGTGGCCACTGCTGGCATCTGGGGGGGGGGGCATTCCCACCTCCACTGGGCAGCACACCTGGGGAACAGGTGAGCCTGTGCTGCCCTGAGCCCCTGGTGGCTGAAATCTTTGTGAATGCTTTAAATCCAGCCAGTTATCCGTGTCCTCGCTGGATTTTCTCTTTTCCCCGTGGAGGTGAGGAGGGGAAGGGGCAGAGGGAGGGCAGTGTGTGCCCAGGGGTGCCAGGTGAGGGAACTGAGCTGAGCTGGATCATTCCTGAACTCCCCAGTGCCACCAGTGCAGCCTTTCCATGCTGGATTATCTTTGTTTTTTGGGGGTTTTGTCTGTTTGTGAAGTTTTGGTTTTTTTCCATTTTACAAATTGTCTTTTTAGGTTTGCTTTGGGTTTGTTTTTTTTTTTTTTTTACTCCTAAATAGAAAGTTTCAGTTATTGTAGAAGCCTCCATGATAGCAAGATGGTACAGATATTGTGTAACCTCAGTGCACACTAAAATTTCATTTTTTTTTCCTCCCAGAAGAACAAAGGAAGAAAGATGCCCCTCAAAATTCCCTGCCTGGAATTCTGACATACAAAGTCACTGAAAAGCTTTTCATCCATTTTGCAGGAGAAATCAGAATTAATTTTATGCTGATATCTCAAAGAGTAAAGCCATACCAGGTATTTTATCCTATGGAAGAACTCCAGAGCAGGAGCACAGGGGAGTGGATTTTTGGGGTTTTCCTCCAAATTCAAGTTGAGGGATCAGGTCTTAGGGACACACAGGTGAATCTCCAGACTTCTTCCCCCTTTTCTTTACAAAACACAGCAGCAGTTTTTGAATCACCTGTGTGCAAACAGGGGCCAGCCAAACTCTGCCTTTTTGATAAAAATATCCCTTGGACAGCAAATTTTCCTTGCACAATGATGTCTACCACAGACACCCTGAATTATTCCTCGTGACAAACACCGATCCAGGTGTGGGGAGCTCATTGGCATTGCAAACCTGCTGCCAGCGTCTGGGAAGTTTTATTCTGATTTTCCTTTGAAGCCAAGGCACCACAATGGCATTATTTGCATCTGGGTTGGCATTTCCAGCTCCGTGGTGGTGCCTTTATCCCTGGCTCCCTAGAGACAGCACAAGGGGTAATCAACAGCCTCAAGTGCTCCGAAACTGAGCCTATTTTTTTTTCCCCCCACTGGATTAGCAGCAGCAAATGCACAAGCACATTATTAAGATGGTGCATTCATTTCTTTGGAGTCAGGATGGAATTTTGATCGAGTTAAAAACCCCATTAATATTTACATCACTTAGTGGTGCTGGAAGTAAGGACATTTATTTGAACTCAAGCTGCAAAGCATTTAGTTCTTTGTAATTACAGCACTGCTATTAAGTATTCATAAAGCTGCACAATAGAGTGTCACAGGAAACCTGGTTTAATTTAGTGGTAAGTCAATGTTTTAGTTTTGTGTAAAAACAGAAACTAATTTACCAAGCCTTTTTGCTTGTGTTTTCCCACCTGGGCTTTGCAAACTTCCTTCAGTTTGGCTCTGTTTAAATTACTTTTTGTGGCTTTCAAAGTTGGGGAGTTCCTGGGGAAGGCTTGCAGGTGTGCAGGTAATTTGGAATGGGTACAGCCAGGCTGGGGGAAGAGCTGGAAAGGTTCCTGATGGAAAAAGACCTGGAAGTGCTGCTCTAAAGCAGCTGAACATGATTTGGTGGGTGCTCATAAAAAAAAAAAAAAAAAAAAACAACAACCAAGGGCACCTGGCTTGGATCCTCCAGTGGGGTAAATCTGCATTTATGGGAAAAGCTGGAACTAATCCCTGTATTTCTGTCTCCACTGCAGGATGAGGTCTCTTCTCTGGACATTGAACTCCCAGCTCCCTGTGCCTGCTGCCTGTGATGGAAGAGCTTGATGTGAATGTGAGGTAGGAGAGAGGGCTCAGCTCCTGCAGCCCCTGAGCTGTGGCAGGGCTGGTGAGCCTAAAATTCCCCTGTAAAGCTGCAGGGTGGCATTTTCCCCTCTGCCTGCAGATAAAAGTCTCAGCTCATGGAGCAGGGCTTGGTTTGGGGATTCCTGGAGTTCTCTGAGGACCTGGCATCACCCTGGTGTTTGGATAAGTGTCAAACGTGGCCTAGACAAGTCAAGGATTTCTTTTCAGTAGAAAATGTTATGAATTCTGAAAAGGTTGCAACGTGATGTTGGAGAGACATTCCTGGAAAATTTTGACAGTTCAGTTTGGAACTTGCATTCATCACAGGGAAGGGAGGTGGCAAACCTCATTTCCTCTAATTCCAGAGCAGAAAAAGAAATGACCCATGAGTATTTCCTATTTCTATTTTATTGGATTTTTTTTTTTTTTTTAATTTCACGTGACTCGACGATTGGTATTGGGTACATTTATTACAGGCACTGGGTTAATGAGATCCTGTCAAATGGTTTGAAATGAAAACCTCAAATTGGTTTCAGCAATCCAGAGAGGCCAAACTCTGCCTCTCTTGGGCTCTTACCAGTGTAAATCCCAATTGTGCCATGCCTTGAAAAACCATGAAAACCTTCCCAGATTTTGGGTAAAGATTCCCATCCCCTCCCTGCAGAGCATTCCCAGAGTTTCTGTTGGTCTCCTTATGCCACGGTGGTTAAATCTCACTCCTATTTTTGGAGCACAGGTGACTTTTCATGCAGTTCTGCGTGGCATTTTTGCCCTGCCTTTTTCTGCTTTTTCTCCCCTGCCCTTTTCCCCCCTTTCCCCACCACCCTTGTCTGTTTTTCCTGCCATTTTCCTGCCCCTTTTTCCCTTTTTTTTTACCCCTGCCTTTTTTTCCCCCACTCCTTTTTCCTTGCCTCCCTTTTTTCCCACCTTTCCCCCCAGCCTGGTTTTTCCAACCTTTTTCTCCCAATTTTCCCCGCCCCACTTTTCCCACCCCCTTTTTTTCCCCACCTTTTCCATCTGATTTTTGCCTGCCTTTTTTTCCCCACCTTTTTCCTGCCTGATTTTTTTTTCGCCCACCCCTTTTTTTCCCACCTTTTTTCCCCACCCTTTTTTCACTTTTCCCCGCCCACTTTTCACTCCACTCCCTTTTTCCTGCCTTTTTCCCCCCCACCTTTTTCCCATCCTTTTCCCCCCCACACACCTTTTTCCCTCCCACCTTTCTTTAATTTTCTTTCCTGTTTCCCCATTGCAACACATTGGGAAATGTCACTTAATCGAGGATCTGAGCTTTGCTCGAATCCAGCACCTGATTTTCCAGGGCTGGCTGATGTTTTCCTTGGAAAATCTCAATTCTCTATGAGGGAAGATGTTTGCTGATGTTTTTACAAACAATTCCCGGGGTGTTGATGGCTTTGAAATGGCTCCTAATGTCTCCACCAGCCTCAAGGGCAAGGTTGGCACAAAACCCAGGCAAGTTGGACCCCTGAACTTTAGGGTAATCTATAAAAGGATCAGCACAAATTCTATTGCTGAACCAATGGGGGTGGGAAGGGGGCAGCTGGGAATTTAGGATAAAAGGAATTTTGAGAAACCCCTCAGGGTATTAAATCCCCAGTGAAGTCTCTCCTATTCAATAAAATTGCAGGACTCTTCTGTCCTCTTTAGGGACACTGGATTTTCATAGTGGGGATTTCCTGCACGTGGAAAATATTGAGCCCACAATTGTGTTCCAGGCAGATTTTTGGGATATTGTCCCGAGTACTTCACACTGATAAAAGGTTCTTGCTTCCTCATGTGTGGGGTTGTTACAGTCTGGATAAACAGGTGAAAAAATAAAAATCTCCAGCACATTTAGTGCAGGTAAACAGGTTTTACAAAACCCTTTTAGTGGTAGCTGCTGGTGAAGGCAGACTCCCTTTGCTAAACCAGCTATGAAAAAAACAAGGTATTCTTTCAGTTTGCCACAGCAGTAATTGCTTTTTATTTTTGAGCTGACCCCCTAAACCAGCTGAATTTTAGATTGATGTTAATTGCTTCCAAACTTGGCTTTATCAGCTTTACTTTTCTCACTTTGTTGCTGAAGGTGTTTTTGTGGCTTGGGAAGTGCAGAGCCCTCCAGCAGTTCTGTGTGGGGCTCATTAATCTTATCCTGACTTTGAGGAATGAGCAGCAGGGTGAGGGAACAAGGAATCAAATCGGGTGGATTGCTTGTGTTTGTTCTGAAGCAAAGGAAAAATCCCATTTTTTTTTTTTTTAACCCAAAGCCCTGATACAGAGACCTGGTCCTGAACACCCGAGTTCCATCCCTGCCCTGGGTGGGGGGAAACTGGGAATTCTGTGTTTGATGAGTCCCAAATCCTGGAGTTTGCTGTGCTGGCTTCTCCCTGTGCATCACAAGAAGGGGAGCTGCTGGTGGCTGGCTCTGGGATGAGTTTGGTTCTGGGATGGGTGAGTTTGGCTCTGGGATGGTTTTGGGATGGATGAGTCTAGTTTTGGGATGGCTTTGGGATGGATGAGTTTGGCTTTGGGATGGCTTTGGGATGGATGGGTTTGGCTTTGGATGGTTTTGGGATGGATGAGTTTGGCTTTGGGATGGTTTTGGGATGGATGAGTCTGGTTTTGGGATGGGTGGCTTTGGTTTTGGGATGGCTTTGGCTCCTGTTGCTGTGCACCAGGCAGGGAAGATCCTCAATCTCCTCTCCCCATCCAAACCTGGGAGAACCAGGAGCAAGAGGCACAGGGGGACAGACAGGGACCCAAACACCCATCCCAGGGATGTCCCAGGAGGAGCTGCACTGTGCCTCATCCCCCTTGCTCAGGACACTGCCAGGATGGGGACAAGAGCTGGGCTGAGGGGCACCAAAATGACCCAAAGTGCAGGGAAAGGAAAGGATTTAGGGAAGAGTTTGTGTGCCCTGAGTGCCCTGGCACTGGGGATTCATGGAAAGCAAACAGCTTAGGGTGCCTCCAGCAATTCAAAATAGAAATGTTTATTCTTGTGTACACAAGCTCTTTTCAAAACCTCCCCAGTCTCTACACTTGGAGTCATTAAATCATCGTTTATCTCAAGTCCTTTGATCACACTTTCTGTTTAGGTGAGGAATAACAGGCTATAAAATGTCATTTAACAGGCCACAATCAGCCTGGAGCTCATTTCCTCCTTCCCTTTCCAAGGGAAGATCAACTCTAATCCTTCTGGAATATCAGCAGCACCCATCCAGAAGGGGATTTGCTTTTTGCACCACCAGGGCAAAGCAGGAGGGCACAGAAAAGGAAGGAATGATAAACAAGCTTCACTTTGACATTTTGTGCTACCAGCCAAAAATTTCCAGTAGCCAAAAAAAAAACCAAAAAAACCCAAAACCTTGGGGGGGGAAAAAAAAAAGTTTCTTTCCCTCCAGCCCAGGCACTGCTCCATGGGGGAGTCATCATCAGCCTGGGTATTTTTCATATTGTTCAACTCTTTTCTCAGTTTCTAGGGAAACACTTTAAAGCACTATATTTATGGGAACATCTTTCCAAACACCTCCGCCAACACTTAATTAATGGAGTTTTTAAGCCTGGCTCCAGCTTCTGCAAATTAATAGTGTGCTCTCTGATGGCAGCTGTGGAGCAAGGGAGACACACAGGCTCTGTAAATAAATGAGATATTTTATAATAAATTATTAAAATAAACTTGCAGAGGGGCAGCTCCTGTTTGTGTTTGTGCTCAGCCCCACGGGGAGGTCAGGCCATCACTCGCCTCCCTGAGGTTTAATCTGCTTTTATTAGAGCAATCTGTGCACAGGAAAATTCCCTGGACTAAAAACTGGGCCGCAAAAATGAACTTTTGGGCGTCTTGCCTCGCATTTTTAGCGTCAGTGTCTCTGCACAGAGGGGAAAAGGCTGTGGAAGGGTATGAAAACCATCCTAAAAACTGAGATATCCCGGGGCAGGCCTGGCAAAAATGGGCTGGATTTTATTGCCAGCTTTTGCCCCGGGCAGCTGCAGTGCCAGGGGCTTTCCACATTCCTTGATTTTTTATTTTTTTTTTTCAGGGCTGACCCTCGGCATCAAGCTGCCAAAATTCCATTTATCCCCATGTTTGCATTGCCCTCTTTTGCCCAGGAATTGGGTTTTTTTTTTTTTTGTGCAGATGAGCACGTTCCTGCTGGAAGCTCCTGCCCTGATAACCACAATTAAACACAATTAACAAACACTCCCCCAGCATCCCAGATGGAGAAATGTGCAGGTCCTGACTCCTGGGTGGTATCTGGGCTCCATCTGAGCACTTTCCCCTCCTCAAAGCACCTTGACCTCCTCTCTTTTGTTTATTTGAAGTGAGGAAAAAAAATGCGACGAGGGCTTTGTGGAGAGTATTCGGAGCATGCACTTAGCTGGGGATGCAGAAGGAGGTTTAAATAAAACAAGGAATTTAAGAGCTCTGCTCTTGAACCAAGGACATTTCATGTCCTTGCTCAGGGAGTTCACCTGTCTGGAGCCTCCACACAGAAAAAAAAAAAATAAAAAAAAATGAGCTGGTGAACATCAGGGGCTGGGAGGTTTCTGGCTGCCCCCACTGGAATGATCTTTAACAAATTATAATTTTTATAGCAAAGATCAAAATGAGCTCTGGGGATTGTTTTCGTGTGGCTTGGAGTCACACAGGGGGTCTGGGGAGGGGGGGGTCTCAAATAAAATAAAATCCAAATAAAATGGATTCTAGAACTCAATGTTTCATCCTGTCTGTGCCAAGACTTCCATTAGCAGAGGTGACTGCAAGGAACTTTTTCATTCCTCTGCAGGCTTGAAAACGGGAAACTCTCCAGGAAATATTAGAAATTAGACAGGCAATAGCTGTATTTGTCTTTTGCTGTCCAAGGTGTAAACAGGCAGTGGGAAAAGGGCACAGCCTGGATATTTTAATGCCAGGACCCTTCTTGACTAAATACCTCTCATTTAACAATGTTTTCCTGACTGCAGATATTGTTTGAAAAAGCAGAGCAGGACCTTCG